AGTCAATGGGGGGAAAAGGAGACATATGTAATATTTTTAACAATAAAGAATTGTTAAAAAAAAAAAGTAAAAGAAAGCATTCATTGTGAAAAATGAGATACAGAGTGAGAATTCCATTTCAGCTATATAAAGAAAAGATATTAAGCTTAATACTACTTTTGGCTCAATAGTTAGCTGAAAAATTGAGAATTCTATGATTTCTTTAAATAACCAAGTAAAAAATTTTAATTCTATCAAAGCTGCTAGGACACAGCCTGTTTACCTGCAGAGAGTCTGTAAACACTTCATCCTTGTTCTCAATGGGCCTGAACAGTCCCTTTTTCTTCTCCCAATCTCTTATGTCGGGGCTGGCAGCACTAATGAGCATCTTCAGGTTCGCTGTGGGCGTCCATGGTTCTGTCTGCTGTCTGTCCACAAGCTTAACTGGAGTAATGGGGTTTCTTTCTGGAGTGAAGATTTTTTGCTTCGATAAATCAATTGGTTCATTTTTTATTGGAGTTTTCGGGGCCATCCTTGATCGATCAACAAATATATTTTCCTATTTTAAAAAAGAGACCTTTTAGCAAGAATGAGACAGGTCAGCTATCAGCTAAGAGACCTGTTTAGTTCCCACCATGAAAATACAACCAGACCATATGTTCAGGGCTGAAAAAATAGTAGGATAGGACTAATGAAAACAGACAGAGGATTCATGGAACTCAAGGAGAAGCTCCAACGGGAAACGGATTATAATCTGCTACTCCTTTTATGCATGTTTTTCATGGCATTGCTATGAAAGAAGTCATGAGTGTATCTATCACTGGTGAATGCTTGTAATAGTTGGGGATGAAAAGGCCAAATGTGAATTGAGTCCATATACTCCTAAGTGCCATATTTTTTAAACACTGTAAGTTTGCACTAACCGGTGAAGAAAACAAATGCTTTTGTAGTTCAGTGTTCAACAGTGCTAATGTACCAATTAGCAGGGCCAACGGATACAAGTGCATCCAACAAAATGCCACATGTAAAACGAACCTAGAGAGCAGTCTTACTTCAGACTCGTATGCCACCCCACCCTATATGACTCCCCACGTGAGATTACCAATCAAACTGACCGACAGCCTGTTCAATAAGAAGAGACCACTGATCACAGGCTTAGGTGTCATGGGGGCGATATTAAGTTGCTATAGAGACTTCGAAGTGCTTACCTCTCAAGTTCTGTTCTTGATTTTTTCCAGCTTGGTAACAGTTTGTGGAGTAGAACCTACCCTCAGATCACACTTTGAGATTAATGATGAGCCCATTATGTCCCTTGTAAAAAAGGACTGAGTATAGAGAACTCACATTTGGAACTACCGAGTAATTAAAACAGATTTCTTTCCCCTAAAACCAGTTTTTGGCATTCAAAAACAGAAAGATTTGGCTCTTATTATAGCAGAATTCACCTCCAGGCAATAGCATCTTATACAATTATGAAGGTGGGTGGTTAAATATTTGTCTCTCCGTTTCCTGTACAGGTAGCACTCTATAGCTACTGTATGTTTGGATTTTGGCTGAACAGTGGTTTACAAAAAGTGCTTTCTTATAAATGAGCAACATGTGCAGAGGGAAAAGACTGGGAGAAACTGGAACCTGTGTTAGCACGCCAACTCTTGTTCTTGAATTGGCAGAAGCTGCCCACTAGCCATGGTGGTCCTGTCTTCCTGTAACAGGAAGGAAACGGGTGGGGATGGGAGCCTAGGTTTCTCCTGCCACAAGCAGCAGTAAGCATCCAGCCTGGGGCGCTGCATCTACCGACTTCTCTCTCTCTCTGTTTTTTATCGTTTAACTTTTTCTTTTTTAAAATTTTTATTGTTGACTCTATTATAGATGTCTCCCATTCCCCTCCTCTGCCTCTCTCCATTCGATCTCTGCCCCTCCCTGGTCTTCACATTACTATGTCCACGGGGTATGCGTACATATTCTTTGATTGATCTCTTTCTCCCCTCTCTACCGATATCGCTTAACAAGTTTCTACAAGTGTGCAATTCTGATAAAGTCTTCTACCAGGGAACCCTTCAGGGAAAGTATTGAGGGCTTACCATGTGCCACACCGTGTTTCATGTACTTTATGGATAGTAACCTCTTCTAATCCTGCGACCTGGGTACTATTATTTTTCCAGTCTACAGCTGAAGAAACTGAGGCACAGAGAGGTTAAATAACTTGCTCAAGGTTACATACAACCTCATTCCGTAGGAAGGTAACTGGTATGCAGGACATACTAAAAGCCGGAGTTTCTGAAATTCTACATCTAGAAATAAGCTTGTCCTGAGTGCCCATTGGAGGAAGCTGTCTTTTTCACAGCTCCAACATACAGTACCCAGCAGGCGCCCCAGTATCGATGGAGAGGTGGAATGGGGAAGCAGTTCTGCATGCAGGCTCTAGTGCCAGCTACTTGGTGCGAGGGAGGGCACATTCCTTCTCCTCACTAGGCTTCCATTCTCGCAACTGAAAACGAAGTTCGTAAAAATACCAACCTCAGGGTTATGAGAATAGTTCCTGGCATATGGTGAGCATGCAATAAAACTTAGCTGCTGTCTTTTCCTCTTTCCTAGTCTTTATTAACATTCATTCTGACACTCAGAGCTAATAGATTTAACTTCTGGGGTGAATGTCTTGTCTCATTCACAAGACTGTGCACTTCTGGAGGTCAGGGAGTAAGTACGTGTCTCATTCCTCATGATTGTTGGCACAATGCCTTGCCCTGTGCAAGTGCACACAGAACACGGTGCCTTGGTTATCTGGTTATTCAAAAAGGTATCCCTACCTTAGAGGGTGTGGCCCAGGCTTACTGAGCCAGACAGAGATTCACCTGCCTTCTCTACCTTCCACGACTACCTTCTGTAGTCGCAGAAACGATGTGTTCCTCCTTCTTTTTTACCAAAGAGCAATTCTGATAGATCATTTTCCTCCAACACTTTGGTATCTTTTCGCTATAGTTTAAGTATTACAGATGCACCTCGACTTAGGAAGTTATGTCCTGATCAGCCAATCGTAAGTTGAAAATATCATAAGCTGAAAATGCATTTACTATACCCAACCTACTGACAACCATAGCTTAGCCTACCCTACTTTAAATGTGTTCCGAACACCTACATTATAGGGATGTAACCCCATTATAAGTCGAGGAGTACCTGCAATGGCCTTCCTCTTCTTCTCACCAGAAAAGGAGACCCAGATGGGCGTTTTGTAGACGTGATGGGATGCGAAAACACAAAGCAAAAGATCCAAAAACACTGTACAGCAGCGGTTCTCAACTTGTGGGTCGCAACCTCTTTGGGAGTCAAACGACCCTTTCACAGGGGTCGCCTAAGACCATCCTACATATCAGATATTTACATTACGATTCATAACAGTAGCAACATTACAGTTATGAAGTAGCAACGAAAATAATCTTATGGTTGGGGTCACAACATGAAGAACTGTATTTAAAGGGCCAGAAGGTTGAGAACCACTGCTGTAGAGTATGGGTTGTTTACCCTTTGATCGTGTGGCTGACTGGGAGCTGTTGCTCGACACCTCTGCCAGCATCATGAGTAATTATCCTACGGCATATCGCTATTTTGGGAAAGAGGAAAATTCTAAATTCAAAGTATGATTTCTACCAAATGCGTATCACTCTCACACCACCATGAAGTTGAATAATAGTAAGTTTAACCATCATAAGAAGGGACCATCTGTACTTAAAGTAGGAGGAGAGTTAGGTTACCTGATATGTTGTGATTGTATCACACCTCTATATCAAAAGGAAAAAAAATGTCTAGCAAATTGTTTTTCAAGGTCTCAGCAGGTGGGTAGAAAGTCGACTGCTATCTAGTCGACCCTGCTCCATCCGCCTGTTTATCCTGCAATCCTGACACTGTATAAGGCAGTGGAAAGGAGATTGAAACCAGAATTTGGAAACCTGGTTTTTGTCTCAGCTCTGGATCTTCTTGATACTGAACAAATTGCTCATTCGGTCTGGGCCCAAGTTTCCTGGTCCATAAAATAAGGAATTCAGACTAAAGTCTCTATCTCCAAGGCTTTCCAGCAAGGCTGCCCAGCGGTGTGGGTGGATGCTCGGATGCAACCAGACCTCTTCAGGAATGAATCATTCCCGGCAGCTGCTGGAAATGATACCAACAGAAGCCCTTAACTGGAATGCCTTGGTGGGCCAAAGAGGGCTGACTCATCTGGGATCGCCCCCTTCCCGGGAGGCCTGATATGTAAAAGTCAGGCCCCCTTGCCCTACTCCCGGGGTCATCCCAGACCTCCCCTAGGGTAAACTCAGACTTCCCCTGAAACTGTGTTGCAGATCTGCCTCTTCCTCTGTCCACTTCTGCTGCCTTCCCTTCCCTTCCCAGGAACTGATTCCTAGAACTCTCCCTAGAAACCTCCTGCACACTAAGCTCCCTGTCACACCTGCTTGTCAGGAAATCTAAGCTGCAACTCCCTAGAAATCAATTCCTCCCTCAGACAGAGGGAGAAAGTAATCCAGGACACAGGTTTTCCTGTTTTCATATGTAAATGGATGTAACACACACTGGAGAGCCTGCCGCAGAGTTACTGTGAGGAGCAGATCAGATGATGAAGGTGAAAGCAGTTTGTAATGGTGAAGTGCTATGCAAGTGTTCATCATTATTGACTATACCAGCGTCCAGACTATGCTGTACGCTGCCACAGAGAGGGGTTGGTAGTCAAAAAATCCTGGGTTCAGTCTTGCTTTTGTTTCAGATACAGCTTTGATCATGTGACCTCAAATAATATAGTCATCAGCCTTGTCAAGGCTTTTGGCCTTATGCCAACCTCCTTTCCCGTTCCATCTCATGCAAATTCCACATTTTGCCCCAACAGTCCACTTGCTTTTCTTAAACCTGCCCTGCACTTCATCACATCTGAGCTGCTGTTCACACCATCACTTGGTCTTTTCATTTAATTTTCTTTTTTCTCTTTACTGATTAAGGTATTACATATGTGTCCTTATCACCCCATTGCCCCCCAACCCCACCCCCACCCATGCCCTGGTCTTTAATGCCATAGGCTAAGCCTTGCCTGTCCTTTAAGGCTCATTGCAAAGACTACCCGAGGAAGTTCC